CTCCATCTACTTCTCTTTCTGTACATCCAAACAATGAATTGTATTCGAGGTACACTATATTATCTTTGCCAGTTTTATAACAATCTGTTACATTTTTGTATGTTTTCTCTAGTTTTTCAACTCACCCATCTTCTTCAGACATTCCAAATAACAGTGAACATTTTTCAGTACCTTTTTCTTATTCTATTCCAACATTTGATCAGTTAAAAACATGCATTGAAACATTGTTAACATACCAAAAACCTCCAACATCGAAGATAAATAATCATAGTATAAAAAAAGAGAATAAAGTTGATTTAAAGTAAGTGAATTATATATTAAAAATCTATCGTCTGATTTACTTAATTACGGATATATTTTATTTTCTTCTTTTTTAGAATTTTATTTTGTTTAATGTGTGGTGCTAATGATGCGGAAAATATTTCAATTCTTGTGGAAAAAATTTTAGAACGATTAAAAATTAATACGTGTTCAAAAGTTTATTCTAATTCATTTGTGATTGAAACATTCCTGGGAAAAATTAGACGGAAAGTATGTCTTTGTTTTTGATAATTCTTATTGACTAATATATCTAATATTTACTTATCTTTTTAGATTGAATTTGTTTTCACTTCTTTTCATAGTGTATTTAGTGTAAAATTAAATAAATTTGATGGTTTTATTCTCTTATACAATAGTGATAGATGTGCAGCATCTAATACAATCAGGTAACAAAACATCGCTGTAGTTAAATGATTGTAATTTTATATATTTCAAGTTAACTTTAAATATTTTTAGATATGTGATGAAATATATAAGTGATAAATTGTACAATAAATCAGATGATGTGATGATAAATAGTGATCATCTACCAGTATCTCTACCGCCTCTATTTTTATTAAGTTGTTTAAATGATAACACAAAATCCAATGTGATGTTGATAAATCATAAAATGAATAATGTAGAACAATCACAACAACAGCAAAAATATTCAATTCAAAATGGAATTTCTAATAAGCACAATGATGAAGAAAAAAATGAGCGAAAAGATTTAATACACTTTCATGCAGAGACTGTACATGATTTTGTTGAAAGTAAGCCTAGTAATCAAATGAATTTTCATATATAAGACTCTAATAACCATGTGTTTTTTTTCTCCTTTTCATCGTAGATCATTTATTATCCTTTCTTTATAATTGTTGGGGTTCGAGACGCAGTGATGAGAATGATAATATTGACAATAATACTAGCAGTGATCATTTATTAGCTGGTGTCACATCCTATTTTGCGTAAGTTTCGTGTTCCAATCTTCATTCTTTCACAGTAAATGTTTGTATTAATGAACTGTTTAATATTCATTTTTTAGACAACAGTCTTCTACGTACACAACGTCGACAACAAATTTAATGACATGCAGTTTAGAAAGAAATATAAATAATCGAATACGAAAACATGATCATTTTCTTTCACCTTCAACAATATCATCATTAACAAAATCAAATGAACATTCACCATCTCATACTGCAACATTAACGCCAAGAAACATGAATATTGCTGACACTGGTACATTATTTTATTACTTTTCTTTCTTCTCTGTAGTCTTATTTAGATTTTTTGTGTTAAGTTTTGTGTTATCGTTCCTATCCTCATTTATCATCGATAAATCCTGACGATATGATCTCCATGATAAAAGATCCATCGAATTTTACTATTGTACCTACGACACCTGTTGATAATGATTTATGTTCGCCATTGACATCTTCGACAACATCAATGTGTACACCACAACATGTAAAAAAATCCAATAGTATGAGATTTCCTCAATTACTTGATCATCCAAGTAAGAAAACTACTTGTTTATGTTTTGTCTGCATGAGATTATATAGTTCTAATCAATTTTGTGTAGAAATTATTTTTCAGTAGTAGATTCTATGTACATATAGTAGATAAGAATAATCTCCTAGGGATGCATGCTAAAATATTTAGCATAAAAAAAATTAAAAGGAAAATAGTAGCAATATTAACAACAATAAGAATTAAAATTGGCTGCTTTTAACGTTTCGTCTAATATTATCGTATATATTCTTTTTTTATAGTTTTTTCTTTGAAATTCGATGGTAATGTAGCATGTAACGTCCGTATGTGTATATGTGTGTGTAAATCTTGTCTACTATGTTCTATGGTGCTTTTAATTCTTTCTTTGGATATTTAATTTGCTTATTTTGCGCATATTTAAGCATGAAAAACTGATTAATTTTACATTTTTTTCATAAGAATATATCGATGTATATTGATCATCAAAAATTCTAGCGTTAAAATTTCTACCGAAACGATGAAAATGATATATAAAGAAAATCGTATGTTGAAAATGTTTTTATCACGTATAAGGGATGACTAAGAGTTTTTTCAACCAGTACAGATCTATTTTAACTTTCTCAATCTATTTCTTTTGTTAAATTTGATATTATTAATCATAAAATTTTCTAAATAGTTGACATTAATTTTTGCTCAGTTGTTTATTTGAAAGTTCTAAAACTCCTCAACAACATATTTTTCCAAACAAAAATAGCGAGATAAACAACACATTATTATTCAACCCATTACAATTTGAAAGTTTGCACAACTTCTATTCTTCCTACATGTTGTTACTAATGCTTAAACTTTTTGCAGTTCTTGAGTTTTTTTCGTTTTACTTATACATTAAGACAAAAAAGAACAGACTAGTTTTTATCTCATGCTTTTCTTTACCAATTATTTTACTCATCATTTGCTCTTGTTCTGGACAATAATCAATGGCTTATTGCAGATTAATAGCTTGCTAATTTTGATTCGTGTTCTATAACAGAAATCGCTTGACTCATTAATAGCTTTATCTTTTCTTTGTTGCAATCTTTACGTGAGTAGTGTGATTAAAAAAAGAAAAATGAGATTGATTTTCATAATATATTTGTTTGATTGATTATTGCACTGATTTCTCGTGAAAACGATCTGTCAATGGTTAAGCTTCTTTCTCATTGTTCAATGTCGTTTGTATATTTGTTATTATCATAATAAGCTGCTTCTATCTGTAAAAAGAATTTTTTATGTTAGATGACTGTAGTATCGTGTCTGTATTTTGTCAGACAAAGTTTTCTTTTATAATATGAAGTACAGTAACAGGTTAGTTTCTGAAAAACGTCTACTTATTCCATAGATGGGCCAGTCCGAATCCTGACTCGAACTCGGACTTCAACTCGAGGTAGATTTGATAAACTTGATGAATCGAATCGAGTCACTTTTGAGTCAATCATATGGAACTTTGCTCTATTAAAAAGATGCTTCTATATTTGTAGTATATGGGAAAAGATAGCGAGAGGTTTTTAGAATAGTGTGAGAAAATTGCCTTATGTGATAAGATTAAAGATCTCGACATCATACAGAATAAGTATTAAAGATCGTTACGGGCCGGGTCTACGTTTTTGAATCTTGTTTACGGGCCGGATCGAACTGGGTTGCATTTGATGGTCCGCATGCGAGCCCAGCCTTCTTCCCAAAAAGTCGATAAAATTACAAGACAACATCGAAAGGCAACAATCATATTAAATGTGAGAAAAAGACACTATCTTCTTTTGAAAATGTTGCTGACAAAGTTGACTGTCCTTTGATTATCTGTTCTATAAGCTTATATCTACTGATATATTACCGAAATTCAGCGCTTTTAATATCTCCTATGTTTCCATACTAATCTAGATTAGTAGGCTAGAATTCTTGAGCCCGAATACGAACCGGGCCGTAAAAGCGTGATCCGCGACGATCTTTGGTGGCAAAAACTTTTATTAAAAAAATGGACCACTGTGAGTTTTAACCTTTTGAAAATGACTCTAGTCAGCTTTCATGTGACTCGTACTGGTACTAGATGCCTTGTAACTTAGACTCGAAAAAGTGATCACTCGCCCATCTCTGACTTATTTATAGTGACACTTATACAGATGTAAGAAAATTAGTCATTAAGAAGATCTATAAAATTAGAGTCATACTCATTCAACTGTTTAGCAATTGTGTCTTGTTTGCGGTATACATCAAAGAAATCTCTTGTTACATAAAACAGTTTGATGGATATATCTCTGTAATCATAAAAGAACATTTTTTTCATAGGCTATCTATTGAAGGACAACACTATGCTTTGATCTATTGTTTCAAAAAAAAAATTACATGTCGAGCTTTTTTTGGGCGCTAAATCTCTTCTGCTTGTTTAATATATCCAAGTATTGATGTTGTACTAATATCGAGAAAGAGAGAAGAAGAGAGATTGTATTCTATTATTATATAATCAATTCTTGTCGAAATTACCGTTGAGAGAGAAGTACAGATTCATACATTTTATTTAAATTATTCTAAATTTTCGTCAGACGAAATCTACGCTACTTTTCACATCGATAAATATACATAATCAAACTATTCTAAGTGTTTGAAAATTATTAGTCGAGACAAGTTTTAACGTTAGTTTATTGTGTATTTTATGTACGCAAAAGAATATATCTATTTATATTTTTCTGAATGTCTGTAAATAAATTCGACGTTTATTTTGTGATTTTATTTATCTCTTTTTCATACATATTTTCGTTTCTGGTGTTTGTCTACAAAACAACAAGAAATAATACTTGTATATTCATCATTAGTAATAGCAATAATCAAAAACAAAAAAGTCGAATGTCGACTTTGATTCCTCTTTCTGTCTCATTGTGCATATGATGTAATATCGGTTTGGTGTGTGTGGTACAGACGGGTGATGATTTCAAATGTCATCATTCTACTGTCTATATTGTTGAAGGATTTCTATTTTTTTTTCTGCTTATCTATAAAAAGAAAAGCGTTTTCTTTTAATCAACCGCCTTACCAACGCTAAACGGCTTCTCTCATTTTCATGCCTCATTCTAAACTAATTGGATTTTTTCTTTTCGCATAGAAGACAAAAGTCATTCGAGTACGAATGGATTAATATTAAAAAAAGTAAGTGTTATCCGTATGATATAGTTTTGAGAAAAATGACTAAATTTTAACATTTATAATTATATAGAATGAAAATTCTAAACAAGAAATGAAATTGGTTACAAATGATAGAAATTTAGTTCACCGTGGTTCAGTTCAAGTAAAAGTTCCACTTGCCATACCAGAAATAATTGAATTTAATGATAATCATATGTTGGAGTTAACTATTGAACCAACAACAACAACAACAACGAATGCAAATGATGAAGCAATGACAACATCTCTTACCGATTCATCAATGGTGCAAATGACACATGGTAATAATCATTTTGTTTAAAATATTTATTTCTAGAAAAACAATCTCTCAATTTCAATTTTTCTAGCAAATTATTTTATTTACTATTATGGTGATAATTCAGAAAATATTTTTAGTCAGATACGCTTTAGGGGTAAAAAGTTGTGTGTTCATCACCTTCCTTTAGAAGTTGTTGCTTTTCTTTTTTACAAACCGTTTTTACAAATCGTAGTGAGAGTGATGCTATTTCCATTACATATACGACAAATTCTTAAGTTTATGTTCGTTTAATTAATGAATTTAGCAGTGTCTAAGCGATCCGATCTAGACTGGTTCATATCGGACTAAATTAGAAAAAAGATAACACGACAGTTTCATTTGACTTGAATGAGTATTTTCAAAATGAATTGACGTGACGTTAAATGAGATATGCGATTATATCCAGTTTTCAAATTACTTCAATAGAATCAACATTTGTACTCTTTTTGATCGGTAATGTGGTCAAAGTGCATGTATCTTTTTTGATTAAAATACCATTGTGTGTTTTTGCCGAGCGTTGATATACAATACGTTGTTGCCAATTTTTCTTTCCTCTGTTGTTATTTTTTTTATGTTAAAAGCATGCAACACATGTTTTCTTAATATCTCGTTATGTGTTTGTGAACAAATGTTGGTTCTTTTTTTTTAGCAAATACCGATTCGTCAATTGATAATAGTTCGAGTGATGAACGAATCAAAGCAGCCACACTCACTTCTCCATCGTTATCTCAACAGTCTACAACAAATTTACAACGAAAATCATCCGATCGAAAATCGAAACGTATTCGAAATGCTAAAAAATCAGATAATGGCCTCGGTTCAAGTACCGAAATCTATAAAAAAAGTATATATTTTTTTTCATTATTCCTCATTGTCTTATTTGAATTAAATTTCATTGATTATTTTTGTTTTCAGCTGGTTCGGATGATGAGATTGTCGATGGTAAAAAACAAAAGAAAAAACGACGTCCAAGTTTTAAACGTCGAAAGAAAACTGGCTATGATACAACACAAACAGATTCTGGAATTGATTCTCGTACGTATATATTAAACTAAAATGAAAATTTATTATGTAAAATTTGTCTTTATGTTATTCTAGACTCGAAAGATGCTCATTTAGCGAAAACAGAAATAACCATTGTGTCAAATGAAGAAGACAGTAGTGTGGGAGATTATGCAAAAGATAGCAAAGTAAGTAAGATTGTGATCTTGTATTGATTACAAATTTAACCTCTATCATATACTTTTCTTACAGAATACGTCAATAGAAGAACTTGAAGAAAGACCAACGGCCAACTGGATTAGACGGCAACTTCAACATTTTGCACGAAGAGATGTGAGTAATCAGACATAATTATTGGATCATTTTCTTTATTTACTAATATTGAATTGATAAAAAAATTTTTGTCTGCCTACTACCCAACAATTTCTTGTTCACTTATATTTCTTTTTTTTTTTAGAAAAGTGAATCAAAAAATCGTTCAAGTGGCACATCGTCAGCCACAACAATAACCTTGATAACTCCACCATCTTATGTACCTAGATATACAGCAACTGTTACTTCGACACCGAGTGGACATGTGCCATTGTCTTCACCATCCGTATTAACTGATAGTAACAAACATCATTATGCTGAACGTATTCCATTGTCAAAATGTGTTTTATCACCAGAAACAGATGTACCACGATTTATTGAAAATTGTATATCATTTATTGAAAAATATGGTCTCTCATGTGAAGGATTATATCGTGTATCTGGCTATAGAAATCAAGTTGATTTAGTTATTAAAAGTTTAATTGATGGTGAATAAATTATATCTCATTAAATGAAATTATATCAGCATATTTTCCATTTTATCTTTTTTAGATCCCGGCTGTGATTTACATGTACTTGAAGTCCCAGCAAGTGCAGTTGCAACGGCTTTCAAAGAAATGATGAGACGATTACATGAACCCATATTATCCTTAGATTTATTTAATGATTGTAAAAATTTAACTAGTAAGTTTTTTTGATCACAATTAAAATAATTTAATTTTATCTATTTATTTTAGTTTCACAATTACAAGAACAACAATTTTTACCATTGAAACAAGCTTTTAAACATATCACACATGTGAATTATATGACAACAAAATTTATTTTTAAACATTTAAATTTGTAAGTAAAATACAAATATTACAGTACATGCTTATCGGAGCATGTGACTAAGATATTGGTTAGTGGTTTGAATATTTATTAATACACTAAAACAATACAAAAAAAGTTCTATAACATGAAAAAACTACGCTCCGTAAAACGCATGTAATGTCCGCTCCACTATGCGTTTGACTGACTACGATGCCTATGGTCTGTGTCTTGAATCGACCGAGCAGATGATTATAACACTGAAAAGTTCGACGACATCACGTCAATGAGTAGCTGAAAAAATGTCTTTGTTCGTGAATGAAAAGCGAATGTACTTATTGTTAAGCTTGACCACTTGTTGTTCTTGTGCAGGTTTATTGTATTTGAATATGCTCTCTTGTTTGTGGAAATGATCACCACTAAAGTAAAAACTCTAGGAACCGGTTGGACAGAATGTTCTAAAGCTGCTCTAGAAAGACTAAATGATAAAAAATTATGAAAATTGTTGCCACATTAAATTCTAAACTTATGATAAAAAGAAGATTTGAGCGCTTAATATTTCTCACTCATAAACCTGCGTCAATCAACTTTTTATTGAAGTAAAATTGTTGTTCGTTTGCCTATATGATTCAATTATAACACACCTATGATGTTGAAAATAATAATTTCACTTTATGTTTAGTGTATCTCAGCATGCTGAATCAACTCATATGGATTCATCGAATCTTTCGTTGATGTGGTGGCCAAATTTATATCAACCAAAATTTACTGATTTACCAATGGCTGGTGAAACATGTCAGAAAATAAAACCACTCGTTCAAGCCATTATTGAAAATTATTCAATTATATTTGATGATAATATCAAACAGCATCATTAAACAACATATTTCTGCTGTTATCTCTTTTCTAGTCAGGTGCTTTTTGTTTTGTTTTGTGTGAAATGAACAAAGAGTAAAAATAAGCTCTCTATTTTTTGATGTTGTTGTGTAATTTAGAATCGCTTTTATTGTTTTGTATGTATGTATCTCTGTGTATCGCTAGTCGTCAATTTTGTAATACTAAAGCAAAAAGTTCAGTCTCTATCATTGCTATGCTTTCTTATTCTTATAGGCATTTTTCGAATACTGCATTTTTAATCTACTCTTAACGAAGCAAGATGGGTTTCTCTTCGCCTCTAAAACGCTATGTTTGAAAACAGCCTTATATTCCAATTTTTTTTACATTAGCTTTTTTGTTGTTGGTGGTTTCTACTTAATATTTGTTTTTTTTGTATAGAAATAATGAAGAACAGTATTTTTCTTGTTTGATAACAAAAATATTTGTTCATACTGCTCTATATTTGTAATTCGTTCACACGAATATTAAAAGGATTCCATAACAGTATATGTGTGTCCCATTCTAATAATCATATGACATGTTTTTCTATTCCATTTTTTTCTCTAAATTTTGGGATCTGTTGTTGTTTTTTTGGTGCACAAAAAGAGAATTATTTTCATGTGTATTTTTTAATGTCCGTATTTACGCATAAACGTTTAAGAAATAGCTTAAGATTTGTATGCTTCTTTTGTAATTGTTTTGTGTATGTTTGTACGGTGTTGTCGTGTTTTCATTATTTTCGATGTGTCTTATCGAATAAAAGAAGAAATAGTTAGTATTTTTATTCCAAGTTTTAATAGTTAACTAAGATTATGTGCTCGAACGAATTTATGACTGCCATCATTTTATACCTAATTTTAATTATACTTATGAACAAGAAGACTGTTTTAAAAGTAAATTAAATTCACAATTCAATAATTTTGAAAAAGCACAAAATATTGGCACAATAGAATTCGTTAGATTACTGTGACCACGTGTGTATTTGAGATTTTTAAATATTAGAGAAATATTCGATTTATATAACTGATATTAGCAATTTTTACTGCCATTATTCAGATGAAAACTGAAAATTATAATAATACGTTGTAAAACGTTAAAACATATTTTTGAAGAACTCTCAGAAACTTTACTATGAGTCCTGATAATCGTTGATTTTCTGTTTATACGAAGTCATGGTGAATATTTTAGATTTAATTCATTGCTCATTCTATCTTAGAGAGAGGAGAATAGAGAATAAATAAAAAAACGTGAGAACTGTTAAAATTGACCAATGATTCATCTATTCTTGATATGTCAGTCCAGTTTGCATAGAGAAGCAGAATATAGAAGATAAATAAGTTCAGCTCATTTGATGTTATGACAATCAATTCGTTTGAATAATTTTTTTGTAGAGAATGTAGAAATAATTGAATGATTCAAAGGGTAGTCATATATATTCTTACTTTTTCCGATAGATTTTTGATTATATTATGCATACATAGAAAATAATTTAATAAGTGTACGAACGGACCAATTGATTACGACCAGAGCCCTTCAGGTTGCCACTTTTTGACAACCTATAACCTAACCTATAAGAAATTTCACAACCTAATCCTAATCTAACCTATCTTGTGATATTTTATTGTCAACCCACAGAACGTTACACACATATTTGACAAAAGTTTTTACTTTTAATATATGTCATTGAGTTTTCTGCCTTTCAAAGAATTAGGGCGTGGATGTCTCAAAATCAGAAAAAAATTTCGCTTGTATAAAAGTAGAAAGAAATCGAAAACAATTAAAACATAACCTACAACTTAACCTAACCTACAATTTAGATTAGGTTAGGTTTAACCTGCAGGGCTCTGATTGCGACTAACCTCTTGTATAAGAAAGAATAGTAAAAAGATTAAACTAGATCGTTCTCCTGCTGTCCATCGTACTTTAACAAATGATGCAAAAGCACTGGAAAAACTTTGATCCATTAAAAAAAAGCAGAAATATAGAACACAAAACCAAGCGACATCAGGAAATGAAAACCTTTTATTTTATCATCTAATAACAAAACGTTACGCTTACGAAATGAATGCAAAATTTCAACAAGTGCCAAATAAGAATAATTGAAGCAAATAGAGACAGGCATATTACGAATAAATTCGTTAATAAACTGACTTCAAGTGACCGTTTTATCAAAACCCTCTAAGGACCCTTCCTCTGTCAGAAATCTATTTTGACACAACACGTGGAATCCTCACCAAAACTTTTGTAGGATGTTAATCTTGCCAATATTAGATTAGGGCAAATGTTTAAGCTTGAAAACTTGAGTATTCCCAGAGTTATCTCAAAAAACGCGACCAAAACGTAGATGTTATCATTTCCTAGATTTTTCCTCTATTTTAAAGTACTAAAAAGCTCGGGTTCGTTTTGAAATGACAAGAAGGCTTGATTTAATGGATCAAAGTTTTTCCAGTGCTTTTGCATCATTTGTTAAAGTACGATGGACAGC